TGACAACATTTCGGTTAATGAATCTTTTATAGCAACCGTTTCGTGAGTCTCTGGTCTTTGATTCTTGTTGAATATTAATATTCTTCATCTCAAAATACGAATAAAATCTTTAGCATGAAAGATTCTTAGATTTATGTGTTCGATATTGAAGATGATACACTGTCACAGAGTTCATATTGTCATTAATATCTTCCCCTACATCTCTGACATTTTTCTTCTGCAATGTCCTCTTTCGATTTGTCAATACTCAATACTGCAGGATACTGTTGCATGAGTTTCTGAAAAATTGTCAGCGAAATGTTGAAAGTAATTCAATATTATGAATAAATGAAGAAAAAAATATTTAATCGATTGCATTTAATTGAAACAAGTAATGTTACTGGTTTTGACTGTACTTAAGATCAAGGGGAAGTTAACAGGTGACATTACTATATATAGCCACGTGTAATATACAATGTATGTATCCCCATAACTCAGTACCATCCTCCTTAAAATAGCAAGAATAAATAAATAAACGAATAAATAAATAAATAAATACTCAAAGAAAGAAAGGACACAACAAATCACAACAAAGCATTTGTGTAAACTAAAGGACACATGCTACTATATTTACATAATCTATAATAATCTAATATAAAAGATAAACGATAATTTTACAAACTCGATCAGATATTATTAGATGAATGGAGTTTCTGAAATTCAGTGAAACAAATATTGGGATAAATTCATTATTGATGGAAGTAAAGTGCATTTTACAGGGATGTAACAATAAATAATATACATTTAATATCAACCACTTTACTGCTAGTGGAAACTGCTTTATTTCTAATTGTTTAAAAGTGTTATTGTTTATGAATAAACAATGCTAAGTGATAAATTGAAACATAGTTAAATACAGTTATTTAACCAATTTTTCTGCTAGAGTACGTTATTGACACGTCAGATATCGGAAATTAACATTTTTTTTGTTTGCAGGAAACAATACGTGTTTCATCGTGTTTACATTTTCAAAGCAAATGTCAAACGTTTAACTAGGAACTTATCAAGTACATACTTGTTTCAGCACCCTTCCCCCTTCCCCTGATGATTAAATAAAGAGGCGTTAAAAAGAGTCATGTATTTTGTAAAGTTTTTTTTAGGTAAACACATTTTAATTAACTTATTTAGTCTGTGTTTGCAAAAGATTTCATTCGAAATTTGAGATACAAGATAATAATAAAAATAAAATTTCCGGTACCTCCATTTTCTCTTGAAGAGTAAATTCAGAAATCTGTTTTTGTCGTCTAAGATTTCAATTTCAAATTTAGTTATTTATTTTATCTTTAGTTTCCAAAATTTTATAATTTTCATAACAAAGCATTCATAAAACATCAATTAATAAGCAACTTTAGTCGAATTGCCTCGATGTTTGCTCGAGAATATAAAAGAAATAAACTATAGAAGTCTTCCAACAAACTGTTGGAATTGCAATAGATATATCGATGACGAGTTATCAATTAACAATAGTTACTTCCATTCATATGTCGACTCGATATCTCAGTGAACTTGAAATCAAAGACACCGTAGAGTCTGCCACATCTGTTTTATATTTTGATGTTTTACTGACCAAAGACGATCAAGACCAACTAACAACAAAATTGTGTGACAAACGAGATGTCTTTAGCTCTTCCATCGTCAACTTTCCTTTATGTAGTAACATTCCGCTTCACCTTCATGCGAGGTTTTCGGCTCCAAACTTATTCGATACTCAAGAGCATGATCTAAGTACAATCAATTTTTAAATCGAGCCTGGCTACTGAAGATAGGTTGATCTTACAGGAATTTCAACAACATCATTTAAAGTCATCGTTTCGTAAATTCTATGGTCGTTATAATGACCTTGTGAACAAGTATAACCTATCATTGAGTGGTATTTTGGTTGACGTGTTTCATACTAATTGTTAGGCCTTTGTATTTATACTTAATTGAACTACGGAATGTTCCGTCTACCTGATCAATAAATTGGGCTCACGGCGTGTGTGACTGGTCGACAGGGGATGCTTTCTCCGCCTAGGCAACTGATCCCTCTTCTGAAAATTCCGGGGGTCTGTGTTTTATGCCTTGTTTACAAATTTGTATTGTTTGTAGATTTTTTTTTTTAGATCGATCACTGTTCGTTATCTTCACCTTTTTCATGCTTTATTCAGTAAAATTTTTTAACCATTCAGAACCCTTGAGTTCAAATTTGTTTATATCTATTTGATTTTAAAGACGTCATACATTCCAGTGGTTCTCACAATGCAATTTTTTTTTCACTTTCTCAGAATCACTTTTCTTCGATGACAGTATTTCCAACCGTTAATAATACTACGATTTCCTTAATTTGAGCCGTTTCATTCTCATCTTATTTTGCCTAAGTTACTTTTCAAAGGGTTCAAATAGGGTCTTTTGCCTTCTGTTTAATCCTATTTATTGTATTTTGTATAAACTGAATGAAATATAGTTTAAATAAAAGAAAGAGTAGCTAAGAGCTGTTGTAGATGGATATAAAGTATTATTGATGTGTTTGTTTCTTAAATAACCTTTTCAATTTTGTATCAAACAAATCCTTCTTCAGAGATATTTCTATCTTGAATGGAATAAAGAGCTGAAAGTTTATGTATAAATCTTTGGGAATTTTATTCACTCTTTTTACTCCCACTTTGCTGCTTTTGCAATTAACATAACAAGCAGTATACTTAAACGATTATCATAAATTCACGATCATCTACTATTGTATCAGATTTTGACTTCTGAGCGGGTGCTCAGTTATTGAACAGTTTCAAAAGAACCTGACCCAATCTTTAACCATGATGTAATTGATTAAACATTACTAAGTGCTAAACTAAAGTAGCTTGAAGTATTATTATTCAGAAGATATTTTAGTAGACTACAAGTCACTGATACGGCTGGGATTTTAAGTTTACTTTTCCACAGAACAGAAAAATGTGTTCTTTATAAATTGTAATCTACAATGTTTACCTGTCAAAACTAAAGCCAAAAGTTTCATACAAAAAGCGTAAAGTACATAATCATTTCTGTTGGGGAATTCGTATAAAGGAAATATTGATTTTCACAAACGAAGTGGAATTAAAATGCAACATTATGTATTTTTGATGTATGAATTTATGCGACCTTGGAACAACTGCTTATTGAATCTATAAAAAGAAATTGTCTGGAGAAGAATTACGACAACTCTTCTGAACTAAAAATATCTACTAAAACTTGAACTTAAGAATAAGTTTGGTTAAAAATGGTACATATGTTTAATCACCGTAATTCGCGGCATGTCTTGCATTATTCATCCATAGGGGAACTCGACTGAAAGAACGTAGTCTTCAATCGCGTTTCCAAAGCTGACTTTACTCCTACCGCCATCTTCCGATGTTTTTGTTGTGAATCGGTATAGCGATCAAAGCCCATTGAAATTTATTAGTATGGAAAGCAAAATTAATTCAAGGGAATTACATCTGCGTTTGTTGATATGCTTTATCCTTGGGGTCTAATGAACCCAGAATAAAATCAGACAGCTGCACTCCCGCGCCTCACGACATGCGTGTCCTGCTTAGGCTTCCACTGTATACTAATTACTTTTCAGTTGGAAAACTGGGCGGCAAAAACCAGATATTTTTTCTCTTTCTATTTTTTCAAAGCTTATGAAAACCCCTTATTGTTGTAAGTCCCTTCATGTATTTACCATTGCAAATAATGAATTTACTAGGAGGAGCAGAAAAAGAAAGACGGAATACAATCCACATGCTTACATACATCGGTAGCTCTTTGGAACTATACACTTAGCAGACAATAAAACATGTAGTTTGTCTAATAAAAATGTAATAAGGTTTAATGAACGGTAAATTTAGAATATGATCTTTATGTTCATGGTCATTTTGTGCCCTTTAAAACAAAAGAGATTGAAATCTTTTATATTGTTTCGATATCCACTTGCTTGGTATCAAGATACTAAATAATAGAAAATACTTCCGGAGATAATTTTAAGGAATGGGTTGTTATATGTATTAAAACTTCATAAAATGAAAGATTTGACTATATATCTATCCCAGTTTATATATACAACAAATTATTCCTTCTTCAAGTTTGTACGAAGTAATGTGAAGAATGTCTCCTTTTCTTAAAAAAATATTACGTGCCTTTTCAAAGGTATTGAATTGGAAATCATTATCATATATTGTATATTGACTTTGTGTTTAAAACTTAACAACGAAAATATCAATGTTAGAAAAGGGACATTTTCTTCCAATGTTAGTAAGTTTAGTGTGTCAAAAGTTCATATTTATGAATTATAAAGAATGTAAAGTTAATACTAGAAAAATTTCAGAGAATCATGTTTTTAAACATTCCATCAAAAGAAGTACCTACTAGTAATTTTAGACCGAGGATGTTCCAACAGCCATTGTTCAAGTTGTTGAAAGAAAATAAAAAAAAAACTCTTCTGTGCTAGGCAACAATAATTTGTTTTAGATTATCTTATTTTCTTTCGTTTTTTTGGTTATATGTCGGAACGTTTTCAATTTTGTGAGGATTTTGAATTTTATAAAGACAAAAGTAAATAGAATAGTAAAGAATATTTCTTCAACAGTATTTATCCTGACAAAACTTATTCAATTTTTTGAAATGTAAATTGAGTTTAAAGAAACCAATTGCAAAAAAGATAAAGAAATAATACTTCGAATAATTGTTTTCCAATTATAACAGTAATACATTTGAAACAGAGCGATTTTAAAGTAATTGAATCTCTCCCCTGGTGGGGGAAGATTTCACATCAAATATTCCTGAAAGCAAGACTCTTGTTAAATGAATCACCAACTATCAGCTGATTTATCAGTTTCTTTGAAATGTATTAGCTATTTCAAGGGAAAAATATTATCAGTGTTACGGAATAAACCACAAAAATCGGGGATAGCGATTTAATAGTAATCGTTTTTCATACTCATCTCATGTTATCAACAGTTCAAGCGTTGAAAAAACGGTTATAGTATTATCTTAAATTTGCACCAGAGTTTATTGTTTGGCAAGAAATATATAAAACAGTATGGTGTGATGGCAATTTAAGCAAATCATGTGAGATTAGACACAAGGTATAACCTCCGGCAGGCGAGGTTCCTACACGTATGACGTTCATGTTGGAAGAAATAATGTTTAAATATACATGACTTTGAGAGAGTATTTGTGAGGGAAGTTATATAAGTAAATTAGTGCTCGCTTCTTTATGGCTTACCAGCATTGCTTTCCGAAAAAAAGGATTATTGGATTTTTCTCCAAATTAAATCCTACCTTGATTGCAAGAAAATGACCTAGCTTTGAGATCATCTCAATATAAGTGAGTATCAATATTTTTTCTACAAATTACTTTTAATATAACGTTTATCACTCGATGTGGGCAATTTGCTCATTAATTAATGGTTTCTTTCATCTCAACTGCATTTCAAGTGTAAAGAAAGAAATATTAATGTTCGTCCCACTGGTCTGTGATTTAATATATTAAACATACACGGTGCAATGATCAATGATATGTTTAATTTCTGTTTATTGTGGATTCATTTACTGGTTGAGAAAAAACTGCATTGTTTGGTCGATCACAATAAAAATGTTTGCTTTCAATAAATGATTTTGGCTTGAATGTGATTTCCAACATCGAAATGGTGCCATTGCAAAGAAACCTTTTTGGAAAATAAATTACCAGACTGCAAGTAAATAATTTTTAATTAATGCTGAACTAAGTTAAACATGGCCTATATAAACATAGAGTACATCAAAAGAAAAATTGTTTAAACAACAGAAATATTCTACAATATATGTATGTTTTGCGCACATTGAATGTGCAGTAACCATGCAGGGAAGATAAGTTTGATGGCCGATACCAACTAGAATTCTGCACCAATGCTAACTTATCAAATTTTCACAAATAATGCAACTGATGAGAATAATGATAAATGGGATAAGGGGTATTAAATCAGTTACAAATGCATCAAGGTTTTTTCAAGTTTTTTTTTTCTTATATTAGTCTTTAATTTTATTTGTCATTGTGGTATATTGGGTTAAATTTAGCATACTAGTGTCATGCAGAGAAATGTCAGTGAACATGTAAATTAAAAAAAAGTTCAAGCAAAACCTGAAATAAGATCAGCAAGTCTGATTTCAAAAAATAATTTACTTGCCTGCAAACATCCCATATATTTATACTTGTATCAAAGAAATTATTTGAAGAATAATTCCATTTAACAATGACAGCTATGGAACATTTAAGTATATGGTCATTAGATAATAGACATAACTTTAATTAAAATAGATGAGAATGACTGTTGCGAAAGAGGAGTTGAAGGCAGAGTTGAAGAAAAAAAAGGCAAAGATCTATCCTTGTATAAAATGTACTATAGTTATTATGCAAGCATTAATGCATGCTGTGGAACTTATTAATTATATCTATGTATTAAACAGATGATGAAAGGTCTCTTTAAGTGTTATGTGTACAAACACGTTCAAGCATATCTTTAGCAAAAAATTATAAAGTTTTTACGTGCAAACCTTTCTGTGAAAAGTGCAATCACCGAGAACTATGATCATTTACAGCTTCATTTTAAAAAGGGGGTAGCCGATATTATGGATTAGTTTCCGATTTCAAAACAATAGTCGCTTAATTACAATCGGACATCATTAATACTTTTGTGTGAATGACACTCACCCTCTATTTAACAAGTTTGGTGAAAAAAATAGAGGAAAGTATTTCATTGTTTATATACTGAAAAAAAAAACTAATTTCAAAATTAATAGATCTAATGTCCCCATAAGAATTCCATTTTCTTTTTTTTTTGGGGGGGGGGGTGATTTGAAGAACACAAATATTTATTAAGTATAGGAAACTAGGTGCAATATAGCTTGATTTGCTAAATATTTAACCAACTGAAAATAATTTGCAATAGAGTCAATACTAGAAACTATACTGAGATTTGATTGTGCTTCCTCCTGTGGAAAAAATGAGTTCATTCGAAAGCTTGTAACTTGGTTATTTTAATGTTTTATATTTCTTAATTAATTATTTATCATAAATTTGAGTCTTTAAATAAGAGAATCAAACAACGGAAGAACAACTATTAATGGCTGAATATTTCTTTAGTATATTAAACAAAGCTTAAAAAGACAAAAATCTGTATGGTGTTTTTACTGGTGGATGGAATTTTTCACAAGTTATCCAGACGTAACCATTGAATTATTTAGTGCTCTTACAGATGTTGAGTCATTGGACAAATAGCAATAAAGGTTATCATTACTAGTCTCATGTTTATATTTTCTTAAATATTTCATATTTTAAAATTATGTTCTAGCTTTGTTCTGTATACATGTATTCATAAAAATCACTCTGATTCTACAAACAAGTTCTCTGAAGTTGATATTAAAAGGAAGCTGGAGTTCCTCATTGAAAACATTTATGAAGTCTTTGTAGACCAGTCACCAGGTCTGCAAACTGTTGGAATTCCGATGGCAGAATTGTGCTCCTTCATTAGCCGACCTGTTTTTATGTTCCTATGAAGCAGAATTCATTCATAAACTTCTACATGACAAGAAGGAAACACTTGCTGTGGCCTTCTACTCCACATTCAGATATATCGACGACGTTAACAATAGTTACTTCCATTCATATGTCGATTCGATATATCCCAGTGAACTCGAAATCAAAGACACCACAGAGTCTGCCACATCTGTTTCATATTTGGATGTTTTACTGATTATAGACGATAAGGGCAAACTAACAACTAAACTGTATGACAAACAAGATGACCTCACTTTTCCATCGTCAACATTCCATTATGTAGCATTATTCCGCTATCACCTGTATATGGTGGTTTCGTCTCGTAACTCATTCGATACTCAGGAGCATGCTCTGAGTACGATCAATTCTTAACCAAGGCATGCTACTGACAGATAAGTTGATGTAACAGGGATTTCATCAACCTCGTTTATTTAAAGTCACCAATTCTTAAATTCTGTGGTCGTTATAATGGCCTTGTTAGCAAATACCGGTATAACCTACCATTGGGTCTATTTTGGCTGACGTGTTTCATACCTGTTAGGCCTTTGGGTTTTTCCCCCTAAATTTGACTACTGAATATTCCGTCTCCCTGATCAATTCATAGGGTTCATGGCGGGCGTGACCCGGTCGACAGTGGATGTTTACTCCTCCTAGGCACATGATTTCACCTCCGGAGTTTCTGGGGGTCCATGTTTTATACTCTGTTCACAGATTTGTATTGATTGTGGATCTTTTGGAGATCGATCACTGTTCTTTATCCTCACCTTTTTCATTATTACATTACTTTTTTTAATAAGAATTTTAATAGAATATTTAAAAAAAAACGCTTTGAAAAATGTCTATTCATCCTATTGTCTTTTCAAAAAGAAATTCTCTTGTTTTTCAATGAAGAAAAATAATTTGAGTTGAAATGGTCATTTATTGCTTGAAAATCAACTGGCCATGCAGTTAACACTTTATACATAAGAATCATTTCATAGCATCTCATTTAAACTTCCATTTAATAAAAGACTGAAGAGTCGATTGATGAATGGTAATTGCCAAACTAATAAAGCTTGCTTTTAAATGATACTCTACGCCATTAGATGTTTATTATCTCATTAGTTCGTTATAACCAAACGAAAAAGCAAGACTAAAGTAAATATAACTAACACAATAACAACATGTTGAAGAGTTGTTTGTGAATGTGTTCAGAATGTTTTTACTCTGTATTTTGTATAAAGTTATTTAAAACCGTCCATAACAACGAAAAATTTTAAATATGAATGAAACAGGGTTCAAATGTTTCAATAGAGTATATTTTCACTTTATGTGATATTCATTTTAAACCACATTATAGCATTATAGGCACACAATAATTGTTAAAATAAGCTTCTTCTTTTTCTCTCTCAAACTATACTTTTAAAAGCGAAATCTAAAAGACTTCAGTTTTAGAACCTCTGATATTTTGGAAGAGAGTAAGAGCGAGGTTTGAAAAAATTCATTTCAGAACACCTCTTTTATGTACATCAAATCGATAAAAAAGAAGCTACTACAGAAAGAGTAATGTTTATTTGTAATTTTGCTAAATGCAAAGTAGGTCAAGTACAAGTATCCTTACTAGCATTTCAGAACAACGTTCGCAATAAAAGATGATGACAAATTAACTGCTTTAAAATGATTTTTTTAAGTGAAAAAATACATAAAGATACATGAAAGACACGAATTTCCACAATTTCCGAATTTTCTCAATTTCATTAATTTCCTCCGATATCATTAGATACATTTAGTGCAAAGAATGCATAGGTGCAAGCTGGCTAATTTGCGACTGATGGAAACGTATACATGTGTCCTATACTGTATCTCATTTGTATGAAAAACAGAAAGAGGTCGGCTTGCAACCTAATGCAAAATTAGTAAGTTTCACTTTGTTGTGTTCTCTGTGTATTCTGTAATTCAATATCAAAAGTGGTTTTGATCCTGGATTCACATTCGCTTGCAAATGCATGATATAATAATAATTATAAGCTGTATTCAGTCTTCTAAGGGCCTATCATATAAGATGTCAACCATAACTGCTTGGTATTTATTTCATATGAGATGTCGCACTTTACTGTTTGATATTTTTTGTCATATGAGATGTTAGGCTAAACTGCTTGAATTTGTATTTTATATCATATAAGGTACATGTATCAGATTTCACTATTTCTAGTGTATCTGAAATTTTATGTGATGTGATATGTTACACTTAAACTGTATTTAGGATTTTACGTCATAGGAAGTGTAGCTTGGCTCTAATCCTTCCTTTTCAATCACCCCTCAGACAGTGCAGAAGAGTTTCTTGGTCAAGTAGAAGTAGCAATACAGTAAAATAGCTTTCTATTGTCTTTTTGTGTCAAATCTCCACAGGAAAAATTAACTCGATTTTCTGTGTACTCTGTTTCAGATAAAACATTGTCTACATATTTCCTATAATTAGAATAGCATTGTTTTTGTACACTGAATCCAGAACATCTGCATATTACTTTTAATTAATCCACACTCAATTTACCGTAACATCTGCTGTAAAGCTAATGTGAAATGTTCTCAAGCAACTGTGATTTTTCATTTCAAAAAACACAATTCATATTTTGATAACGATAAATGTTGCAAATGTAATAAAAAAATCAGAAACATAGAGAGAGAGAGAGAGAGAGAGAGAGAGAGAGAGAGAGCTTACTTTTCCATGACGTCGACCTGCAAACGTATTTGCGCTTTGATCTAAGAGTAATTTGCAAAGTACCCCAAAGCAGGGAAAATCCTGTAAAATATAC